AGAAATAAAGGCAACAAAGAAAATAATTGACTTTTTTTCTGTATGGTTCCTTCATGCACACTTGTGCTTATTCCTCAGTTCATAACTACATGTGAACACACAAATACCTAAACACACACATACACACACATACATGAAGAGATATTTTGAAACGTTTTTCATAATACATGTTAAATTATTTTTTTGACCATTATGACACTTCAAGACTTTCCATGCTCATAGGGTACATTGCTTGACCACAGTAGACCTCACCTTTTCTTCCTTTAATCTAATCATCATTTTGTAGGTTACTCTCATAGTTCCAATTCCATGTGATGGCTCATGCAGGTATTCATAGCAGTTAAGAAAATCGACATAGCCAGGTAGCTAATATTCAGCAGCAAGCTGCCCTCAGCTGCCCAGAGTCACATTCAGAAGAAGTAATACGGAAATCCAGGTTTTTTAAAAATAGGAAACCAGGATATATTCTCAAGGAGTCAGGCATGCTCACGCTCCAGGCACTTCTGATTGTTTTCCTCTATTATCAATTGGAGACAGATTTCGTGTTAAATTACATTTTTTTCTGTCTTTCTAGTTTCAGTTTCCCTGTTTCTGTGGTAACATACAGGGAGGGGGAGAGATACATGCAATAGCAGCTCAGATGAAATCTCCATAGTTACAGCAGACACTTGATTTCCATTGGTAGCTTTGAGATCTGTCTCGTGATTGGCCCAAATCCATTCTCTAGATGATATCACACACTTAACCAATCTGATGCAACGGGAGATAATATCAGTCCCTTCACAAAGGGATTTTGTCAGTCAGGCTCTCAGCTGGATCCTGGTTCTAGCCAGGACCTGACTATAACCTACTAGTCAATGAAGGAAGATTGCTTCTGAAACCTGCGAGGAGACAGGCAATTGAGATCCAGCATAGCCAGGTACTTGCTAAGATTCCCACATGCTGAGTCATCTGCTTCTTTTTTCCTGTGCTGGAAATATGTTCCTGCTTCCTAAGCCGCTGTGTCCACTTTAAAATATATCATTGTCTTTCAGCTTTGGAGTTTGGCTTTATCTGCAGGGCATGAAAAGTCCTGCTGCTCCTTACGCTCCCCTCCTGTGCCTACTGTGTGAATAATTTTCTTTAAGCACATATCTCATATGGCAACCTGAAACTTTGAGAGCTCATAGCTTAAGAATTCGCTGATACTATGTTTTATTTGCATGCAGTCTTTTCATTGAAGATAGTTTTTGTTCCATACAATATACAATGACTATGGTTTCCTGACTTCCAACTCCTTTAAGATATTCCCCACATTCTCACCTGCCCAAATCTATACTCTTCTCTCTCTCTCTCTCTCTCTCTCTCTCTCTCTCTCTCTCTCTTTCACTCAATTGAATATACACAGGCATGTAATAATAGTAATGATAACAATAGTAAAATAGCAACAATAGTAATATCATAATAATAAAAAATAAGAACATCATAAAAGGACAAAAGTAACAAATATAAGAAAAATTGCCAAAGAAATACAAAAGAAGCATATAGATGCAAAGGCACATATGTTCATGCAAACATTAATGCCTCAAAAACACAAATGATATAAGATTTCCATCTGCATGCTGTGAATATGATTAGTTAATAAAGAAACTGGCTTGACCTGATAGGGTACAACAGAACTAGGTGGGGAAAACTGAACTGAATGCTGGGAGAAAGGAGGCTGAGTTAAAGAGAAGCCATGGATATGCTGACAGAGACAGACACACTGAAAGTTTGCTGGTAGGCCATGACCATGTGGCAATGCGTATATTAATGAAGATAAGCTAAAATCAGATGTATGAGTTAGCCAATAAGAAGCTAGAACTAATGGGCCAGGCAGTGATTTAAATAATATAGTTTCTTGTAATTATTTGGGGCTGGGCAGCCAAGAAACAAACAGTTGGCTCATTTCCACAAATTGGTGTGCCAACATGTTTGACTGTATCAATGTTATACCTGGGAAAGCTTAAAAAGTAATTTTAGACACCAAGTTAACTGCTAGCTGAGTGCTGCAGACCCTTTGAGAGAGTATTTCCTGATTCATCAATAGCAGAAGAAAACTGCTCTGTTTTGAAATGGTGGGATCCTGGGCCGTGCTACCAGTATGAACTCTGAAGAGGTCTGGCTATGGGCCATTTAAATGGGATTTGTGAGCAGAGTGCTACAACATGCGTAATGCTGTGACATAGACTCTCAGCATATTTGGAACTGTGGTGGTGTGCACAGTTCAGAGGCAGTGAACAGACCTCTTCTATCATGTTGGCTGGGTGGGGCAAATAGGCAGTGTTGTGTTATCCCTAGCAATGCCACCACTTAAGTTCATAAGAAGGGCTTAGCATTTTAATAAGCACTTCTACTCAGAAAATAATTATAGATACACAGTAAAGACAGATTTAGGAAAAAAAAACACCTCTAAATGGGTCAAAGTGCTGGAGAAGTGTACGTAGACATGAACAGAGAAGAAAAAGAGTTTAGGGAGTTATAAAAATAAATGGGTTTAAAAAAACAAAAGAAATATTTAAAAAGACAGAGTACAGACAGAGATTAAAGGAGTAATAATAAAATAAATATTAAAATGTAATACAGTAAGAATAAATAATCCATGTATAGATGGACTATACACAGAGAGTCAGGACTATATATATTATTCATTTTTTTTGAATTTTTTACTGTAAAGGATCTAAGTAATTAACATATATTCTTTTATGATATTTTGACTTCGGAATTTGAGTCTAAGGATATGTTTTTGAAAGAAGAGTTTCTTCTTTTGTTTCAACAAAGGATGAGAATATGTGGAAATTTTCCATACTGATATGATTTGATGTAACAAGATCCCTTGAAAGGTCGCTGTGAACACCTCCAAAAAATACTTCAACCAACAAAAACCAGAAAGCAGTATGAAGAGAATTCTGCCATATTCCCAGATATTGTTTATATATTTAAAGGGAGATATGCTATAGAGATTTGCATTGGTATGTTTTGGCTTATTGATGCAAATTTAAGGTCAATTTTGTTATACTGTGTATAAATATACTTCTGCTCTTGATTAACGTATTATGTTTGTTAACTCATTTAAAATACAAAGTATAATTATGAAATTCAGGTTAAGGTCAATAATTGTAATAATCAAGCTTGTAGTCATGTTAGTTAGGTTTTTTTTAGATATATAGAGATGTATTTCAGTTAGACATTTTCAAAGAATATAGAATATGGCATTTAAAAATGTTGAAAGAATTTAGGGATTTCCATGACAATGAGACTCATTTGCTCCTGTGTTGCAGGGAGGAGACCACTTGTTTCTCCTGGCCCCCAAGAACCAAAATAACCTCACAGAACCTGTATTAATTAAAACACTTTGTGACCCTTTAGCTCTAGCTTCTTATTGGCTAACTCTTATATTAATTTAACCAATTTCTATTCATCTGTATATTGCCACAGGGCAGTGGCTTACTGACAAAGATTCTGCATGTCGGACTTCGGGTGCTGCTCCATGATGTCTCTCCTTCTGACTTCCTTTTCCCAGCATTTAGTCCAGTTTTCCTTGGCTACATAAATTCTGCCCCATCATCAGGCCAAGGCAGTTTCTTTATTCATTAATGGTAATAACAGCAAACAGAGGGGACTTTCACATCACTCTTGGCAGCAACAATTAATTCAAGAGGAAGATGGGCATCAAAGAGGCTCCTTATGGAGTTTGCTAGGCATTTGGGCAAGAAACTACTCTTGCCTGGAATTCTTGATGAACTGGAAATGCAGGACCTACAGTGAAATGACTGCTAAAATTGCTTAAAGGTGAGACCTTCCTTCAAGGTTCCCGCTTCATGAAAGAATCTGCTAGACATTCCACAGGACACAGAAGAAAGTCACTGATAAACTGCCAATATAGGCAGAAATGTATTTGACATTTCCTGTTCTGTGGAAGAGTTTGCTGGATACTATGGGCCTGTAGCTGAAAATGGATGCATCAATGGTACAGAAGAAATTTGGGTGACTGTCCAGGAAGTGAGATCTCTCTATCAATTCTAGAGTTTATGAAGTTGCTTACAATGTACATCCTGTTTACTTGGGTCTTTGATTGAGCTAAAGAATTAATAGTTATCGTTTTCCTTAGTTATGATAAAAGAGAAAATAGATATGAATATTGTAACTGTAATTCTTACTTGATAGATGTTGTGTCATATATAATTTTAATATGATAAAGTTAAAACATTTTTATTTAAACAGAAAAGTGGAGTTGATGTGGGATTCCCCTTTGTATGCTGTGAATACCATTGGTTAATAAAGAAACTCACTTGGCCTGATAGGGTAGGACAGAGCTAGGCATGGGAAACTAAACCGGATGCTGGTAGAAAGTAGGCTGAGTTACAGAGAAGCTATGGAGCTGCTGCCAGAGACAGACACACTGAAACTTTGCTGGTAGGCCATGACCTCATGATGATGCACAAATTAACAGAGGTGAGTTAAAGTAAGATGTTAAGAGTTAGCCAGTATGAAGCCAGAGCGAATGCGCTAATCAGTGACTTAAATAATATAGTTTCTTTGTGATTATTTTGTGGCTGTGCAGCCAGAAAACAAACCAGTAGCTCTTTACAACACACAAAACTGTAAACCATTACATATAGGCAAAGGACATATGAGAATAGAAAATTGTTGAAAAGAAGTATGAGACAAAAAAAATCTCTAAAAATGCTATTTAATGTTTGTATGTGTACAACCTTTTGTTGGGCATTGCATCCTCTCTTAAGAGTGGTTTGTATGTGCATTGAGACTCCACTGCATAAAAGACATTATTAATTTGCTTTCAGTTATTTATTAGACTTGTATTCTGGATTTGGGATGGGGTCTTATTGAAAGCTCCTCTTGCCTAGTACCAAATGACTGTCTGGGGGCAGAGAACTATAAGTGTGATATCCTACTTGTTTCCATTCTTGTTTCTTTAAGAATTACACATATTCTATGTTCTAATATATTTCTCTTTTCAGGTACATATTGTTTCTACTGTGTGTCAAATACATTTGTTTACTCTTCCCTCTCTAGATACTCCAGTATTAGAGATGAAGCAAGGTAAGGGGCCTGTACATACTCCCATGGGAAGAACTTTATTATCATGTATAAAGTCAAGGATACTTACACTCTTCTTTTATAAGAAAGTCAAGCTATACTCAAATGGATGCTGATGTACAATAAGTTTGTAAGAATTCAAAACATATACACTACATTATTCTAATAATTGTTAATGTAATTGGCAAATGTTAATATTTCAGTTATTGCAGTTAATTAAATTATTTTAAACTTAATTTTCAATTTATATATAAACTCAAATCAATATTTTGTCTTAGGACAGTTTATTGCTAAGTTCTTATAATTGTTCCTGTGAAAATGAGGTCCCAAGAAATATCTGTTTACACTAAATGATAATAGAATTTTTGACAGAGATTGGACCGTAGCCACAGGGAGTTCTGAACCTGATCATCCTTATATACTCAAATTTATGCATCTTTAAATCACATCAGCTATACAGACACACCAGGGGGATCACAGTTTTGAAGTACAGTCAATCAAAAATTGACATGGGACCCTTTATCATTTTCTAATTTTTATTTGATTTATTCTTTAAAATTTTCATGTATTTACCCAATAGTACTTTATCAAATGAACCATCACTGAGCCAAACCTCTTTTCAAACTTTTTCATTGATGATTATATTTCATGCAGTGTTTTAACATTTCTTTTTCCCCTCACCCAAATCGTGCTTGGTACTCCATGCTTACCCATCCACCTACCCAAATCTACACTGTCTTTCTCTGTCATTCTTTAGTACAGAAGGACATATGAAACTACTAGTATTATGATTAATACTCAAAGAATAACAATACAATAAATTTTAATACAGAAACTGAGTTATGATGAAAGACATAAATGATTAGAAGATAGATAGGAAAAGAAAAGTTACAATAATCACATAGATGTGATAAAAACAAGTTTGTGATTATAATCTCAGGAATCTTATAAAAACATAAAACTGGAAACCATACTGTGTAGAAATAGTGCACTTCAAGGTTAAACAAAAAGCCCCAATAAAGCACTCTGAGACAAATAATCTCTAAAAATTTATTTTTTGTAGGACTATCTACTTGAGGGCCCTGCCCTCTTAAGGGGTTTGTATGTGCAGGGATACTTCAATGGATAAATCTAACTTTTTCATGTGCTTTGATTATCAATTAGACATAGCTCCTGATTTAGGGATGTGGACTTGTGCTGACACCCTCTTCCTTGGTATACAATGGGTATCTCTCAGGGAGCAGAGGACTATAACAATGACATCCTACCTCATTACCTTTATACTACTGTCGTGATTCTACTTTCCAAGTCAGGTTCTATTGTTAGGGGCCTATGGTTACCACTGTGCAGCAAATCGATCTGTTTACTTCTACTCCTGCTCCGTGTATTATTTGAGACTGAACTCTGTAAGACGCTGGTTCACACTCCCAAGGAAAGAACATTGTAACAAAATATTCTTTCTCTTTAATTTGAGATTAAGATTTTATTATATTTCTCCCTTCCTTTTTATCCATACCCTTCTAATTGTAAATTAACACTCTCTTTCAAATACTTGGTCTATTTTTCACTAGTTGATATTGCATATCTATCTATCTATCTATCTATCTATCTATCTATCTATCTATCTATATATGATGTAAGCTTATAAGATATTCTTTTTTTAATATTGCTCCTATCTTTATTTTCAGGAATGAGTATTTAGACTTGTAGTCTTCATTTCACATCTAACATGTAACAATCAACACCTATTTTTACCTGTCACTTCAGGGAGGTAAGTCATGCAATTTAATGTGGTAAAATTACTTTGAGTTGCTTTTTGAAATCATGAATCATTTTCAGTTATAGTTCTTACAAATCATCCTGTGGCTCTTGTAAACCCCATATCAGTTGTTCTCCATCTTCCTAATGCAGCAATATTGTTATACAGTTCCTTATGTTGTGGTGACCCCCAGTCATAAAACTGTTTGTGTTGTCACTGCATAACTGTACTAGGGATACTACAGTGATTATAATGTCAGTATCTGTGTTTCCCAGTGGTCTTAGGTGACCCTAGTAAAAGAGTGGTTTGTCCCCCAAAGGGGTTGGGACTGAAAGATTGAGCATCATGGTCCTATGTAAATTTTTTTCTTTGTGTTTCCTTTCTTAAGAAATATATTAAGAGGGCAAGAATTCAGGGTAAGAATAATTGTCAAGTGACACACATTAGAAGCAACTCAACCCATAGTATCCAGCAGACTTTTCCATGAAGCAGGGTTTTTGAAAGAGAGTTCAACATGTATTTTTAGTTTGTTAGTCACTTTCTTCTGTGTCTATCAGAACATCTTGCAGACTCTTTTATGTAGCAGGAACACTGAAGGACCATCTCACCTTTAGGCAAGTTCAGCAGTCATTTCTCTGTGGGTCCTGCATGTCCAGTTCATCAAGTAGTTCAGCCAAGAGCAGTTTCTTGCCCAGATGGCTAACCAACTTCATGAGAAGCCTCTTCCATGCCCATCTTCCTCTTTATATAATTGGTGTTGCCAGGTGCAGATGTGTCTCATGTCAAGAAAAGCCCTAAGTTCTTAAACATTTTAAATGCCATATTCTGTAGTCTTTGAGAGGTTTAAAGAATGTGTATCCTTCTGGAATACATCTCTGTTTATCTAGAAAAACTGTCTAACGTTCTACAAGCTTAACTATTAAAGATGACGATCTACTAACCTGTATTTCTTAATCATATATTATATTTTAAAATGAACTACACAATTAAAATTCCTTAATCAAAAGCAGAAATATACATATAAAAAAGACTGACCTTAAATTTGCATCAATAGATCAAGATGTATACCACAACAAATTTCAATAGTTACCCCCCCTTTAAATTAAAAGGAATATTTACAAACAATTTTTGGGAATATGTGAATAGTCCTCTCCAAATTGCCTCCTGCTTTTTATTGAGTGAAGTAATTTTTTTGAGGGGTGTTCAAGGCAACCTTTCAGTTTATCTTGTTCCATCAAACCACATTAGTATGGAAAGATTTCAAAGGTTCTCGTCTTCTGTGGAAACAAATGTAGAACTTCTTTTCCAAAGAAATGTATCCTTTCATCCATATTTTGAGATAATTTTGAAATAAAGATACCTTGAAAATATATATGTTGGTTTAGCTTAGCAGGCCATACAATGAAATGTCTCTCTGTACTTAGCTCCTTTACAGTCAAACAATTCAAAGTAAACACAATAATATACATAATCCAGACTCTGTAAAATTTCAACTCTTTACATGTTTTATTATTTTTTTACTGCTTTTAATCAATAACTGTCTTTCTCAGTCTCTTTAAAGACTTTACATTTTTAAAAAATTGTTTTCATTTTTTATAACTGTCTATATATCTCTTTTATCTCTCTCCCAAGCCTAGATACATTAATCCAACACTGTGGCCCATTTAGAGGTCTTTTATGTCTGAGTTTTGTAAGCGGTTGAGGCAGTGTATCTGAGAATCATGACCACCTAACTCCCTTTGTATACCAGGTACATAAACTGAGGCAGGAAAAAGGTAATCAGTCCTTGATGTCTAATATGAGCCATCAGAAAGAATGCTTCATCAGTGGAGAAGTCCCTATGGATATTAAAGACTGGAGGACAGAATAAATGGGGAGAGAACTCCTGAAAAAGCTTAAGTATGAGAAAAGAAATGACTGACTTCCAGTTGACTGAGATACCACAGTGTTTACTACAGACTTCAGGAATGCATTGAAATGACCAAGAATCCTGAGGATGGTATAGAGATTTAGTAGTTTTGCTGAGTATTTGGTGGGCTCACATCTTTGTAAACTTAAAAAGTCCTAGGTTTCCAAAGTGACTGTATAATTTTGCACTCCCACAAGCAGTGGAGGAGTGTTCTCCTTACTCCACATCCTTTTCAACATAGGCTGTCATTAGTATTTTTGATCTTAGCCATTCTGACATGTGCAAGATGGTATCTCAGAGTTGCCTTGATATGCATTTCCATTCTGCCTAAGGAGTTTGAATTTTTTAAGTGTATTTTGGCCATTTGAAATTATTCTGTGGAGAGTTCTGTTTTAACCTGTACTCCATTTGTAACTGGGTAATTTGGTATTTTGATGTCAAGCTTCTTGAATTCTTTGTATATTATGATCAGCCCTCTAGTAAATATGGGCTTAGTCAAAATCTTTTCCCATTGTGTACTCTATTTTGTTTTACTTTTCCCTTAGAGAAGCTTTTCATTTTTAGGAGGTCCCCCTTATTAATTGTTGATCACAGTGTCTGTGCTACTCTTGTCATATTCAGAAAGTTGTCCTGATTCAATGGATTCATGGCTACCTGCTGTCTCATAGTATGTATTCACTCATAAGTGGATGTTCAGTATAAAGTAAAGGATAACCAGGCTAGAATCCACAGACTCAGACAGGCTGAATAACAATGGGGGCCCACAGAGAGATACATGGATTTTCCCTAGGTGGAGGAAATAGAAGAGATCTTCTCAGTAAACTGGGGGTGATGGCGGATGGAGTTATGTGAATATAAGGATTTAGGTTGAGTGGGTTTGGAGTGGGATGAATGGAGAAAGTAATGATAGAGATACCTTGAATGCAGAGAATTTTGAGGTTAGGTAGAAAACTGATGCCAGCCAAACTCCCTAGGAATCCATCAGAATGATCCAAGCTAAGAGTTCTAGCAATAACGGAGAGGGTGCCTATACTTGTCTCTTGTAATCAGATTGGTGACTACCCTAATTGTCATCAGAGTGCATTATTCAATAACATATGGAAGTAGATGCAGACATCCACAGCCAAGTACCAGGCCAAACTACAGAAGTAATGTTGAAGAGAGATTTGGAAAATTGTATGAGTCAGGGCTCAAGGTCAAGACAGGGGAACCCAAAGAGACAGTGTACCTGAGCTCATGGGACTTCATGAACTCTGGGTTGATGGCTACAGAAGCCGCATGGGACTGAACTAGGCTTTCTGCATGCATGTGACATTTGTGCAGACTGGTCTGTTTGTGGGATCAGGACCTGTTCCTTCTGCTTGAGCTGGTTTGGGGGAAATGGATCCCTAAGTTTGTTTGCCTTGCCAAATCTTGAGTCTTGGTCCTGCCTCAACTTGTGATGCCATGCTTTGTTGATTCTCATGGAGGCTTGTCCTTTTGAAAGGAGACAGAGGAGGAGTAGTTCAGGGAAGCTAGAATAGGGGTGGTGGAGGAGATGAGTACAGTGGAGGGAGGGGAAAGTGGTCTGTATATTCCAGTTTCACAGAAAGCATCTAACATAAATCAATACAGGTGTAGACAAGCAAATCTATCCCTGGTCAGTGCAAATTAGACTCATCAATATTTTATGTTTTTTCTGTGAATAGAAATACTATGGGTTTGGATTGTTTGCATAGTTAGAACCTCTACCTTCATTCAGGTATCCTGGATGGCAGGTAGTATTTGGTGCTAAGGTCAGAGAATGAAACAGAACCACTGTGACCGTCCAGAAAATCAGCCTAACTAATATTGTAGCACTAGAGTACATGCTATCATTGGACTTTTAACATGGGTAGAGTAGAATAGAATGAGTCAGGTTCAGCAACAAATTTATTAGTGTTGAAATGAAGGAGTTAGCTGTATAAGAGTTAGTGCTTCCTGTCCATGACACAGTACCCCATAGTCATATATAGAAGAAATAACTGGGGCTGATAGATTGATTCTATGTTAAACATTGATTATTATTTGATTTAATATCTTCTTTTTTTTTTAATTTTTTTTTGATTTAATATCTTCTTGGTTTTGAAAACTTGACATATCTTGACACTTGCTCAGAACAGATGACACTTGGTGTCCCAAGTGCTTTACCATGGTTGTTTTTAAAGTCATACTACTAAATATAGTACAGTGTGTCTCAGAAATTTGCATTATTGATTACATAGAATGAATATCCTTGTGGTCCTCTGATTGTTTTCAAAGGATTTCTCTTCTCTTTAAGGTAACATGTTCTTGGGTCAGAAGTTGGATCAATCAATAGAATACATACATTGAAATTATTAACATCTGAGTTTATTTCTAGAACACACAGGTAATCATCCAGAAATATTATTTTGGGAATGCAATCCCAGGACATCATTGGCATTGACAGATCTCTGAGTTTTTGGTATAACCAAACTAGATTATTTGGTGAATTTTAGTGATTGCAACCTTTAAAGTGAACCTAACATAGGAGATTTTTGAGTCAAAATAGTATTTTTTGAATATAATAGCAAAGTTGTACATATTAGCTCCAAGCAGATAAAACCGCATGTACATGATTTGTATCATGTCAAGCTAGTCACAATCTCAGGATGGCTGTTACAGGAAGTAATGAAGTCTTACTCCTATTTTAGTAGTCATTCCCATTTGATGAACTGCTGCTGAAGGATGAATTTATTTCTTCAGTAATATTTGATTGGAGAAAATACACAGCTTCTAGGAGAGTTCCACACATACATGAAGACACAGGCAGCCCTAAATAAACTCAAGTTTCTATTAAGAAATGGGGGATCCTAAGCACAAATAAAGAGGCATTGGATACCATCCAGATACATGTGCTACTATTGCACAGTTAAGGATATTGTGCCATGCTGTTTATGATGTGCTTCATAGCCATCTTAGTCGTTTAGAACTTGAGATTGTCTTTCTCCTTCAGAAGCTTGCACAATCATAATGAATGTATCTACAAAACACATCCACTACTCATGGTATATTGCAGAGAAGTGGACAGAAAAGTTGTGACGAGCCAGATGATCAGGTAGTA